CTTTGCTAGGCCTGACAGGCAGCATTAGGCCTACCCCTATAGGCTCAGTATGCTGATACTGTGTTTGTGTTCTCATGTATCTGCCATGTGGTGCTCTAGCCTGGTTCTACGTTTTTATTTTTAGTCATAGCTGATAAACTTGCTTCAAGACCCCAAGAGCAGTTCAAATCCTGCAGTTCCCACAAGAGGCCCCAAGCCCCGGCAGTTCTTGCAGCTGCAGTGACACCCATGCCCCTCACTTCTGCACCACACAGACCTGGCAGGAGGCAGGAAGGTTCAAAGGCTATTTTCATTCCAACTAGTATTAGCCTTGACAGAACTTGTTCTCTGTGGTTGTGATGAAGTTTTCTTAGGATACCCTTTATTTGTGAACTGGGAAGAGTTTCCAACAGCCACCAAACTTTTTTTTTCCCTTTGACTTAGATTCTCCAAGTGAAAGTGATTGCATATTTTTTTGTAAAGATGAACATTTCCCCTACAAAATTTCTCTATGGGACAACACATGGGATTTTCCTGTCTTACTGAGGATGAACTTTGTTTGATAGCGTAACAATGAGCATATGGGCTTCTACTGGTGGATTGTCTCTTGTTCTCTGTATTTTGCAGTGTGCACCTTGGCTATGACAAAAACCTGTGACTCATCGGAGCACTTTATACAGAAAGTCCCTAACATCTCTTTTTTCCCCCTCATCGTCTCAATAAAAATAGCTACAGCAGGCAAAAGAAAACAATGCACATATGCAGTTGTCAAGACCAGAGCAGTAAAAGAAACTTGGTTTCTTTCTACCACTGGACATTCTTAAGAACCACAAGGATCCATCCAGAGACTTTGTTTACATTGTACTTCTGATCACCTGTCATTCAAATTTCACCACTTCACTCTAGCTCCTGAGACCTGGCTGCAACTTTGGTGCCCTTGAGGAGGGTGACAGAGTAACTCCTTGGGCCCTTGGTTTCAAGGGACCTTTAGTTTCAGATCTGTGACTACGGAAGTCCCTCAGTGTCTCCCAACCTCACACCTCATGAGCTCCAAGGACTTCAGAAGCATGACAGAGACAGGTGACGCACTGCTGATACACACTCCCTTGTCTATTATTTTGAGGCAGAAAAAGTCAAGTATGCGATGTGCTGGGACTTGTAACATACTATGGTTTTATAGAAAAAATGTGTCTGGGAAAAATGCTTAGGGAGAGATGTATTCCCTGTCCAACCTAATCAGATATTGGCTCTGAAAAACCTCTCCTTGTTGTATGATGCTTATCTACACCCTTAACAAAGCTGTTCTTTCTATGACTTGTGACTCTAATATTAAGTCTTTGGTGAGATTGGCCTATTTCTGTCTAAATCACAGAATATGCTGAGTTGGAAGGGGTCCACAAGGATCAGAGTCCAACTCCTGGCCCTGCACTCATTCCTGAGAGTCACACCATGTGCCGAGAGTATCATCCAAACGTTCCTTGAACTCTGCCAGGCTTGGTGCTGTGACCACTTCCCTGGGGAGCCTGTTCCAGCATCTAACCACCCTCTGGGGGAAGATCCTGTTTCTAATACCCAACCTAAACCTCCCCTGACACAACTTCAGGCCATTCCCTAGTGTTCTATCACTGGTCACCACAGAGAAGAGATCAGTGTCTGCCTCTCTTCTTCCCCTCAGGAGGAAGTTTTAACTGCAATGAGGTCTCCCCTCAGTCTCCTCTTCTCCAGCTGAACAGACCAAGTGACCTCAGTTGCTCCTCCTTAAGGCCCCTCACCATCTTTGCTGCTCTCCTTTAGATGCTCTCTAATGGCTTAATATCTTTCTTAATATCTTTCTTATACTGTGGTGCCCAAAACTGCCCCAATATTCCAGAGCAGAGTGGGACAATCACCTCCCTCACCTGGCTGGTGATGCTTTGCCTAATGACCCCCCAGGACATGGTTGGCCCTCCTGGTTGCCAGGGTACTGCTGACTCCAACCTGCCATCAACAAGGACCCCCAGGTCCCTTTCCAGGGCACTGACTTCCAGCATCTCATTCTCCAGTCTGTATGAGCAGCCAGGGTTGCCCCATCCCAAGTGCATAATGAGGCACTTCCCCTTGTTGAACTTCATAAGGTTGGTGACTGCCCAGTCCTCTAATTTGTTGAGGTCTCTCTGCAGGGCCTTCCTGCTTTTGAGGGAGTCAACAGCTCCTCCGAGTTTTGTGTGGCCTGCAGACTTGCTTACTGTCCCTTCCAGTCCTGCATCCAAGTAATTTATGAAGATGTTGAAGAGCACAGGGCCCAAGATGGAGCCCTGCAGAACCCCACCAGTGACAGGTGGCCAGTCTGATGTTACCCTCTGTGCTCAACCTGTGAGCCAATTGCTCACCCATTGTGTGATGTGTTTATCTGACTATGTGCTGGACATTTTGTCCAGAAGGATCCTGTGAGAGACAGTATTGAAAGCTTTACTGAAATCCAAAAAGATTACATCAACTGGCTTCCCTTGATTGGTTACCGTGTCATAGAAGAAAATCAGGTTTGACAATCAGGACTTCCCTCTCGTGAAGCCGTGCTGGCTGTGACCAATGACTGCATTGTCTTTCAGGTGTTTTTCAATACCTGCCAGAATAATCTTCTCCATAACTTTACCAGGCACTGAAGTGAGACTGACAGGCCTGTAGTTTCTGGGATCCTCCTCCTTGCCCCTCTTGAAAATCAGGACAACATTCGCCAGTTTCCAGTCAGTTGGGGCCTTTCCTGATTCCCAAAACCACTCAAAAATCATTGAGAGAGGTTTTGCAATGACATCAGCAGCTTTTTGAGTATTCTTGGATGAATTCCATCAGGCCCTGTAGATTTGCAGGGATCCAGCTGGAGCAGCAGATCCCACACAATTTCAGGGTTGACTGGGAGTTGATCATTCTCGCAGTCAAGGACACTGAGACCCCCTTGGTCTGTCATCCATGTTGAAGACAGAGGCAAAGGAAGTGTTAAACACCTCTGCCTTGTCTGTGTCCCCTTTGTAAGGTGACCATCCCCATCCTGTAATGGGTCGAGGATATTTCCATATTGCCTATTGCCACTTATGTACTTGAAAAAACTCTTTTTATTGTCCCCCACATTTCTGGCAACTTCATCTCCAATTGAGCTGTAGCAACACAAATTTTCTCCCTATTGCAGCAAGCAACATTTCTGTATTCTTCCCATGTCACTTGACTTTGCTTCCACTGGGCATACGCCTTGCTTTTTTGCCATATTTCCAAGATCCCTGTTTAGCTAAGCCAGCCTTCTGCCTCGCCTGCTTGACTTCCGACATTTGGGAAGTGCCTGCTCCTGTGCCCTTAGGAGGTGATGTTTCAAAAGTGACCAGCACTGATGGACCCCAGCACCTGCAAAAACATGTTTCCAGGGGACCTTACTTACAAATTCCTTGAGCAGCCTGAATTCTGCTCTCCTCATGTCCAGAGTTGAGGGTTTGCTGGCACTTTTCCTCCTGTCAACACTATTCATTGCGTGCCACTTTGCCCTGGACAGATTAACTCTCTTGTTAAATGTTTGGAAAGACCAATTGTTGTGTTGGTTTAATAGCTGATAAAAGCTATTAAACCAACACCATGGGCATGTACCTTGTTTTTTGGTTGAAATGGATTAGATTAGCCTTTTGATTTTTTCCATGTCTAGTTTCTTTTATGGTCCCATTGAAGAGGCTTTCTGCTTAAAAGCAGAACTGGTGTGGAAGTGCTGTTCTTTCAGACAGCATGTGATTCCTGCACAGTTTCTCTATATACCTTCTCCCTTCACAAGCATCATTTCTGCTGCTAGATCTTCCTTCCATTAAAAGGACCACTGTTGATGGATTGCTGGACACCTGGATACCACAGATATTCATGTCATGGTGGTCCAAGCTATGTGAAATGAAACAGGCCAGCAGTTTCTCTTGTCTTAGGCATCAAGGACTACTGAGCTTTCTGTGACCAAACGAGGCGTAAGCACTTTGCCTCATGCAAAGCACTCTCAGTGCAGCAAACCAAATGGAAGCACCTTGCAACCAGAACAAAATGCCGAACCAAGAAAGCAACACAGCTCTAGGGTTTGTTTTTTCTTGTCTTTTAAATCATGTTAAAAACAGGCAAGTTGAGACAGGCTTCCTTCATGGCAGAGCTGTAGGATGGGGGAGGGTAGTAGGAGGTATAAAAAAACCCCAAATCCCAAAGCAAAGCCAAAATCAACAAGAAGATATAAGTATAGCTATTTGGTCTCTAGTTCTCTAACATCACCTTTCAGATTGATGAATCATCTACCTCTCCTGCAGCAGAAAATGACCTTGGAGAGGCTTCTGAGTAATACAAACCATGTGATGAGTCCCTTTGCTTTCTCCCTATGATGTAAGGAACAGTCCTTCACCTTTCACCCCCAAATTGCTAGCAGGTATGCTATTCCTTTTCTAATTAGAGATGCTTCAGTCTTCCCTAAAAAGGGAAAAAGCTTTGAGCTGAAATTCTGCATTGTGGAGAATATTGGGGAGGTTTATATATATATACATATATATATATATGAAACTTTTATATATATACACATATATATGTCTTCATCCCTGCCCACCCTTCCCCCTGCTCCAGTCTATCACTTCTTTGCTAGAAAGAGGGCAAAGATAACTGATAGTCTGCTGCAGAGGTTTGTCACACTTGTTTTTCTCCTCCCTGGAGCACTTAGGTGATTGGTTTTGGTCCATATTCCAGCAGTTAATAGCCACTCAGAGTGCGCACTGTGAGCCCAAACTATCCTGGGATGATAGCTCAGCCTACATGTGTAGGGTGTCTCCTCTTCCTTTGACAGGTATGTGTGGTAAATTCTTTTGGTAGCTTCAAGACATTTCCCAGTGGCAGCACATGTAAATTGATCCGAGCAAACTGGAAGCCTTGAGCAAATCCCTTCTGTGTTGCTATTGTTTATGCAGTGTTGTGTCATAAGACTTGCACAGAAAATAAAAGCACTCTATTTCCATAGGAAAGCATTAAAAAAAAATGGTAGCATAATCTGACATCTTGTCCTATGTAAGATAAGGAAAGTCAAACTGCATGTTTATTAGGGAAAAAAACCCAATAACCCCCCCCCCAACTCAAACAAACAACAAAAAAAAAAAGGAAAGAACTCAAGGGAGACTTTGTAGGAACAGTGAAGTAGTGCACAAGTCCAGGCTTTCTCCCCTTTGCTTTTCTGCCAGCACCACTTCTGCCTGTTAGTTTGTTTTGTTAAGGTGCTTCACGTCCTGTGTGGTTTTCAAGCTAAGCGGCAACCTCAAGTACTGCTTCTGTGTTGTTGCTTCCCCTCCCAAACCATGCCAACCATCCAGGCAGATGTTTCTCCCATGGACCCACAGAGGTGGTGCACCTGTTTCCTTCAGCACTCATCTTCTTGGTATATTTGTTCATCCAGTTCCTGGGATTCAAGGTGCTCGAGGCGGTCTGTTCGGCCACTCATAATCTCATCCGGGGTCTTCATGAACCTGCAAAACAGAGAAACAAGTGGATTTCTCAGTGGTCTCAGCTTTTCCATTCATCAAGTTGTTGAGGTCCCTGAGCTCTACAGCTCCTGAGATAATCTTTGCTGTATCCTCCCAATGCCTAGTATTTCCCACATTTTTCCCAGCTTACTGATGTCTTCCCCTCTACATACCTTGAAAGGAAACAGAAAAATCACAGGCATTTACCCCTGCTCCTTAAAAGCCCAAATCTGAACCAAACCCCACATTTTTCTTCCAAAAAATGATATTTATTTCTTCTCCCTCATATTGTTTGCTGTGGTCATGTAAGATGATAGTATGCCCCAGGTACACTCATTTATGGTGTCTGGTGACAGAAACATGAAAGACCTTTATGACCAACATCTTTCAAAACAAAAGCACTTGTAAGGTGTGGAGAGGCAGAAGGCTACTGGTTTGTGTGGGCCTGTGTGTAGGTGAATGAGAAGAATAAGAAACACCAAAGAAACAGTGGTGGAAAAAGCCAAGGTCCAAGTCAGAGTTCTGGGAAATGGAAAAAGTCCTGAAGGAAAAAGCTTTGGAGCTAGGGAACTGTAAGGAAAGACAGTCTCTTCCTGTGTGATTGTAGCAAGCGTAATTGTACTGAAGGAGCATCCTCTGTAAATGAATGCCATGGCTCCCAGCACTAATCTCTCAATGCAGTAAGTCTGCGGGGGGCTAGAAACAGAAACAGCCTCTGTGGAGGCATGGCAGCAGTAGGAAATGGGAAAGGACATCCATCAGCCTGCAGATCAAGTCTGCAGTCTTGATTTTTGCCAGGATGCTTATGTGTACTACTGCACAGAGGTAGCATGGAAAAGCTCTGCCTTTTCTTTTTGAATGTAATGGCATAGGAAGAGAGCATGGCACGGGAAGGATGAAATCCTAGTTTCAACACAAATCAGTCTCCTAACTACTAAGTATTTCTGGCGAAAGTAGGATGAAAGATGTTTATTCTGGAAGTGTTACAAAATTTCACAGTCTTTCATTAACGATGTACTGGTTAACATTCAGCAGTACAAAATGTGTTAATCACAAGGACTGATTTTATTTCAGGCTGATGATACACTCAGTATCCTTGGCCCAGTGAAAGCAAAAACAACCAACAGGAGCCTCGTTACTATCACTGACCCAGAAAAATCACTGCTGAAGCCTCTCAGCGAACACATAGCATAGCCTGGAACTAACCTTTTGCTATCCCTTCTAATCTGGGAAATCATGTGCACATATGCATTTAGGGAAAAAAAAAAGGCTATGACTCACTGCTGTGTCACTCCCTGTATGCTGGAAGAATGCTGCTCATACAAATGGTGTTAGGGCAGCGAAAAACTCATATGCCAGAGTGGTGAATCTGTTCCTGGCTACACAGTGAAAATGCACCAAAGCCTAAGGGCCTGTGCCTTGCTTTAAACCCTGTGATTGTCTTGTTGATTTTGCGTGAGAATGAACTCAAATCAGAGAGTGATCACACTGCTCTCCCTACCATGTGGGGAAAAGGCTGATGTGAACTGTACCACAGTACTTCAGGTGTTCTTTTTGGTCTGTGTTTTAAGTCATGTCAAGGAAATCAAAGCGTGGGTATTTGTAACAGCATTTGATTACATTAAAAAAAACCCAACACAACACAACCTATCATAACCCAACCCAACCTAGAACTAGAAGCTAATTAAGAAACAGTATCTGTGACCTATTTTGTTGCAGAAGACACTCAGGCAACCTATTAGAAATCCTTCTCCAACTCGATTTTACTTAAAAGCTCCAGGTATCTGCAGATGACAACTGCCTGCATGTTACTTGTAAAGTCACAATTCCTATTACTTTTGTGCTTGCAAGATATAGCCAAGAAAGGCACATTAATGACTTGATCTTTTGCAGCTGTTCTTTTTCTCTTCAGATATAAATAGGTCTAAGAAAACAACTTCAAAAAGTTTTATTAGAGAATTGTGCAAAAAAATGCTTTACTGTTTTCTTTTTTTTTCCCTCAGTTTCCGAAAGAAATGAGGTTTATATGCTCATGTTTTATGTTCCCTGGTGACCTTTGAATCTGTTGGTCAATTTGGGCATGTCTGACAGAGGAACAGAGGTCTCCAAGGTCATTAAGATTTTGAGAAAATAGGCAGCCTGGTTGAGAAGAGATGGACTCCTCTTTTTGTTATGCCCCCACTGAAGGGCAGGCTTCAAGGTGTTCAGAATCACGAACTGCCCCAGGGCAATGCAGTCTTCACACAAGCCCACAGAAATCCAGGTACCCTTGGTACTGCTGCTACTGAAACAAGCTTGTTTTAATGTTCCACCAAAAACATAGTACCAAGCAGCTGATTTTGCCCATGACTACAACTTCCCTTCACTCTCCTTCCCCCATCTATGTTTCCTTCTAAGACCTGACATAAACAAGTCATTCTAAAGAAAGAAACCTTTTCAGCTGCAGATAGTTTGAGTGCTATTGCAGTTCTGTTAGCTATTTAAGAAAACAAACTCCAAGAACACCTTCCTACTTTCCAAGCACGGTACTAGATCCAGACCATGGACATCAAAGCAGCCTTTGGTCCAAGTTCAGTGTTCTATGGGTCAGACATACACACTAGAATTTGCTGGTCTTGTCTGAAGAGAACTAGAGTGCTTTTGCTCTCTGCTAGCTGCACTCAAGTTTGTACAAGTTTATTGCTGTTTCAGGCACTATTTCCTGAATGTTTGGTTGTATCATCCAATCCAATGCATTGGGTATTATGAACAGCTCTCGCAGGTCCCTCTTCCTTGAAGGCAGCAATGCTGAAAACATGGTCATCAGTGCTTCTCTTCTGTGATGCTGATGCATCTGAGGAAATACCTGATCCCTGCTTAGCTTTCACTGGCAGCTGTGTTTGAGAAATCAGTTTGGAGTGGGTTTTCCAGCAGTTCAGCTGAATCATTTATCTTAGGTCTTAAACAATGGCACAGCCTGACTGAAGTGAATGTAAAGACTTCTCTTGACTCCACTGATCATGGAAACAGGCCTGTGTTTTCTTAAGTTGGTGTGGTTGCCTTGAAAGATGGCAAGCAGCTTTTATAAATGTATGGCCATTGTCACCTGTTTTATAGCTGTGGCAATGAAGTATCCCACACACAATTCCATTTTCCATCTTCAAAAACTAATGGTCTGTAGAAAGGAATAGCAAAGAAAGAAAATTACCTGAACAAAAGCCTTTGTCCTGGCTCCTTCCGGATAATGTTTAGTTTGTAGTAGTGGCGTAGAGCTCTGGACATTTTCTCATAAGTCATATTTGTTCTGTTCTGTTTTTTTTTTCGAAAGAAAAAAGCAAAAATGTGGTGAGATGATTCATTAAAACCTGCCTAAGCCCCAAAAGGAGTTGCAGAACTATCACAGCTAGCTAAAGTAACCAGGTCAGTTCAAGAAATTACATGTTCCACTCTTCTCTTTGCAGGTCCATTCTGCCCCCACAGCCCTCATCACCAAATTTTTGTGCATCTCTTTTCAATCAGGGCAATTTAAACAAGAAATCTATCAAAAATTCCGAGTGAGGTTTTTCTACATTTTCTTGAAACACAGGTAACAAAAGACTTAATTAACTACAAGAGGAGACATTAGATGGAGGGAGGTGCTTATGCCAAGTGGGATGTGACGGGCCTGTTCTTAAAGAAAACATGTTTTGTAAAAGCCTAAGAACAGTGGCAAATACACTGAATCTGTCAGTAATCCCTGCTAAGAGCACTTTTCCTCTGAGATTTCCCTGCATTAACTAATTAATGCTTACAGAACACTGTAGAGATTGACAGCCCATTTGTCCTCTTGTTATACAGGTGTAAATCAAGAAGCCCATTAGATTGTAAATCAGGAAGCTCCTCCCCTTTGTTTTGGGAGCTGCTGACCCCAAAGGCCATAGCCAGAGCACTGTGGTATACTGAAGTATGGCCCTGCTGAAGCTGAGTGTCACAAGGCAAATGAGATGGGCACTGGCAGAGATGAGCAGCCCCCATAGTACTGACCTGGGATAGCAGGATCAGCCCCTTAGGCTGTGCCTACATGAAGAGCATTTTGCTGGTCCAAAGAGCAGTGCTTATTATGCTGGCAAAGAGACTCCTAGCAGAGACACAACTATCCTGGCAAAGCTGTGTTTGCTCAACTATAAAGCAGCCACCTTGCCATGAGCAAAACACATCAAACTAGTACAAGCACGCTTTTGCTCTGTGAGCCTCCATGTTAGGAGTTTGGCTTTATTAAATGAGACTGATCCACCTGCCTAAAATGTTCCATAAAAGCAGACCTCCCCTGCTTGCCCTGACCACAATAGTTCTGCTAAGAGAGGCCTCATAAAGAGCTCCTGTAGCAATTAAACACTAACAGGGACCATGTTTTCCCTGCAAAATCTGGATTCTTCTCATTGGGAAGCCCCCTGAAATACTGTGTGTGCTTCTTCCATTTCTTATATGCCAAAAGGCCACTGTTTTACCCAAGCAGCTAGTGGTCTGAAGTAGCTTCAGTTTTAGACACCCAGCATGAGACATGATGGCACAGCCCAATTAGCATGCAGGTTGGGTAAGGGCACAACTCTCCATTCCCAGTGTTGCAGCTCTAGGACAGATGTTCTTGGAAGCAATATGTCACATGAGAAAATCTTGACCTTATAAAGATTATAGGCTATGTATGCTGATATATAAAATCAGAGAATAGCTGAGGTTGGAAGGCACCTCTGGACACCACCTAGTCCAGTCCCTCTGCTCAAAGCGAGATCAACCAGAGATGGGTGCTCAGGACTGTGTCCAGTTGGATTTTGAATATCTCTAAGAATGGAGACTTCACAGTCTCCTCTGGGCAACCTGCTCCAGTGTCTGACCATCTTCCTAGTAAAACAGTCCCGCACTTGGGATCTCATGAAACACAACACGAGGCAATGTGAAGTCCCACCTCAGGTCATTCCTCACTTGGGGGAGGACTTCGCACTGCTCCTTGCTAAGTTTCATAATATTCCTGTTAGCCTGCGTCTCCACCATGTTCAGATCCATATGGATGACAGCACAACTGTCTGGTGTATCAGCTACTGGTCCCAGTTTTGTATTGTCTGAGAACCTGCTAGAGGTACTCTGTCCCATCATCCAGGTCATTAATGAACACATTGAACAGTACTGCCCCCAGAATCAATCCCTGGGGTAACATCACTAGTGACTGGACACTGATTACAATCTTTTCAGCCCAGCAGATCAGCCAGTTTTCAATCTACCTCACTCTATTCTTGTCTAGGGCATACTTAATTAGTCTGTCTATGAGGCTATTTTGTGAGACAGTCTCAAAAGCCTTTCTAAAATCAAGATAAGCTATATCCACTATTATCCCTGAATCCACCAAGCTGATAACTTCATTGTAGATATATGTTACAGTGGTCAAGCACTTCCCTTTTGTAAATCCATGCTGACTACTCATACATTCATATGAATATACTTATACACATATAGATATATCTATATGTAACTCAGTCTCAAGCTGCAAAAATCAGTAACTTCTTTCCAGAGAACAAAGCAGAATTGCCCTATTAAAAGGAAATACACACTCTTGCAGCATTTCGTGTCTGTCACAGGACAGTATGTGAAGTCTGAAAGTTGGTACAGACAGGGACACAGACAGAAAGCTCCTGCCAAATTACTGAACAGGGCTCCTTGTAGACCACATCTAATCAGAATATCCTTAGCATGAGGTTTCCAAAAGAGATAAGACGCCTTGAGAAAGACGGACTGTTAATTCTTGCACTCCTAATTTTATAATTACGGGCATTTATATCTAAATGCTTCTAAACCAAACCAAGAGGTTTTTCTATATGAAGACTAGGTTTTAGTGCTTGAGGATGGGTGGTTTATATTTCTAATGTATGTAGAATGAAACATTCTACATACATTAGAAATATACTGCTTTCCAGCAGTAATTTATATGCACATCCTTTCTTCGTTTTCCCCCTGTTTATAAGTGAATCCTGTAATGTTACCAGAGGTGAAGCGCTGTAGGAGGAAAACTGCATTGCTTCCTTACCTTGTGGTTTCCCCACAGCCGGGCCAGCCCGTTGGGATCCACTATCCGAAATATTTTGGATTCCTTATCTTCCCATCGGATGAAATTTTCGTACCGGCTGTCAGAAAGCAGCTGATAAACGTAATCCCAAAGCAACCTACAGTCTGTGAAGAGAGAAGCAAGAAAATACTTTTTTTTTTTTTCTTGGGATTAATTCCGGAAACTTTTGGGTGGATGTGTAGTAAAAGGACAGTTGGGATCAGGGCTGAAACAGCTGCTGCAATCTGAAATGCAAATGGCTTGGCTGGTATTGAGTAATGTTTGCAAAATGTACTGGAATATACAGCCTCTTCTGATGCGTCCTAGTCCTTCTGACACTGACTGAGCATCTTTATCGCATTAAAAGCTGTGTGAGATGACCTGCTGACCTTAGTTGCCTGTTTATTGTACATAAAACTACCACCGTTGGCCCTGATGCTGTTGCTGGCTGTTTTAGTGGAGAAATCAAGAATTTTGCAACCTGCTCTCCTTGCTTGAGACTGCCCCTTTCTGTGCTAACATATGAGTTCTAAAGCATGGGCAATATTACAGCTTTCCTTTGTATACTCCACGTAATACAAAATTGACACCTTCTCCCATTTTAAATTTGATTTTTATTTTTTCAGGTTCCTGAAAAACCCCCCCGAGTATTAAAATTACTTAAATGCTATTGAGTGGGTAAATACTTTCTATTTGGATAATTGAATTGGAATTTCCTCTTGAAAAACACTACTTAGGTCGCTAATTAAAGGTCTAACAGAGATTTAGGTTTGAGTTTAGTGCTTTTCAGTTTCATGGCAGTCTCTTGAGACCGAGGAAGCCAAGAGCTGAGCTGCTCCTACTTCCTGTTTGTGAAGTGTGTGTGCACAGCACAGCATAACTGGGAACTATGAAATATGCCAAGAGAATTGTACAGAGCTGGGGATGTTACTGCTGCCAGGGTTTTTATAGCTCAACTGGCCAGATTCCTAAGATGGCCACAGGGTTGCGTTTTACTTTGAAAGCAGCACCAACCTCTGAGAGATGGCTTGTTAGAGTTGTTCAAGGGCTGGCAACCAAAGACATCCAGCTTACAAGTGCTAAAATGGATTCTTGTCAGCCTGTATTTCTATTCCTGCCTGTCTATCTGGAGCTGGCATGTGTTACAATGGGGATGATGACATGTTCAGTATGAAAATATAAAATGCTTTTTGAAAAAGGATATGAATAGCACATTTAATGAGCACACCTGAAATGGTTAGATATATTAACATTATTTATGGTATTTTTCCACTTTCAAACAGTCAAGAGTATCTCTGAAACCTGTACTGTCTCTAAAACCAGTGCCCTTATTACAGACTCTTTCTACCAGAGTCTACTCTTTCCTATGAAGAGTAAAGCAGTCTATGACATCTGGCAAAAACTGTTCTAGCTGAAACTACCCTGATGGTCATCTCATCCATAACATCTACAAGAGGAAAAATGTGAAAGGAAAGAGGTAGACTTTTTAGTTGGAAAAACCTTATTTTCATTAATGTTTTTCACAGAAAAACATTTTCCACAGAAAAATGTCCATTCCCCTTTGAAATTTTTCTAGGTTTTAATTAAAAAAATAAAACCTGAGGACAAGTTTCCCTGGACTTCCCTGTGGGAGGTCTGTAAAAAGAGCCTGAAAATGAGAGGCTACCACTTTAATTTCTGTTACCCTCCCTCTCACAGACTCGGAAAACACAGTTCTTCCATTGCCCTTCTGTCAATATTTTTGGACACACATACATACACATATTAGAAGAAACCTTTTCTAGACTTCATTTATCAATCAAGAGAAGGGAGATTATATTGCTCTACTGGTTTGTGCCTTTTAATATTGTGTGAGATTCTCAGGTAAAATGATAGTAAGAGCCAATATAAGCGATTCCTTGACACATGTGCAATTCATTCCAGGACTCTTTCAATGTCAGAAATGTATAGAAAATGTTTTTTTAGTGCAAGAATCCTTGGGCTCAACTGGAGGGATGGCGCTCCCGCAGAGACAAGTCAATGTCAGGCTTTGTCATATTCTTGAATGTCCAACCTGGATCAGATAGCCTCTGATTATAGCACCTTATAGCTAATATTTCCAAGTGCTGCAGAGATATGATTTACACTAAACTTGACTTTCACCTCATTATTTCCAATAGGCAATATTAGTTTTAATCTCTCTCTCTCACCAACACCCCCACCGGCTTCCCTTTCTTCACAAAACCAAGGAAGCACACCAAAAAAATCAGCCTAAGATGTCTAGGTGTCAAATAGTTAGATTAACAAGAGAGCTTCAGATGCTAAGAAGAGATAGGATTCAAGTGCATATTTGTTTTTTGTTGTTCACTTAATTTTTAGAATGGATTCAGGGTAAGCTTGAATATAAATATACCTCAAATGAGAAGAACTCAGATCTGCATCTTCAGATCTTCACAAGGAAGTCCTAAGTGACCAAGGACTTGGTCCCATATTCTGAACTGACTGAGCTGCTCAGACTTGCAGAGGCATTTAGTAGGCTGGTGGAATTTGCAAAAAACCACAACCACCAAAGTATGTTAGACTGCTGTTTGCTTCAACGAGAAAACTGAAAATCCTTGAAACCTCTGCTTGGTTCCTACAACCACTTAAAAACTTGTTTTCAAACGGTATAGTTGTCTATCAGCAAGTTTAGATATATGACTCAGTTGCAATAATTTAATGAGCATCAGGGTAACTATGGTAACTGTGTCTCAAGCCACTGCAAATAGGAAATAAAAACCATTAAACACCAGTAGGAAAGATTCAGCTCCCTGCATTTCTTCTCACCAGAGCTGAGAGCTATGAGCATGCACAATGTTAGTTATCGTGGACCAGTTGATGCCTTGCAGCACACTTTAGTATGAGCTTTGTTTGCAGAGTACCTAAATCAGCTTGCCTGCTTTCAGGTTTCACATGGGAGACCTTTAGGAATTTGAGCATGGGCACTCTGGGACTTTTTTTTTGATTTTAACCACAGATGATTTACACCCTAAGTATCTTTCTCCACAGACTGCATGGTAAAAAAGTAAAAAGGTCCTGGAAGGGTCTACTAACTGACAGAGGATCAGCAAATGAAATAATCTACCAATAGGCCAGCAGAAACCATCTTTAATAGGATATTACAGACTATAGGTCAAAGACTACCTGATAACTCTTAGAGACTGTAATGCATTTGGATTATAGTAGAGCCCATTTGAAGTACACTGCAAGACTATGAAATAGGTCAAAACCCAAGAAGAGGCAATGGTAGAAAATGCTTTTAAAAGGAGTTTTTCCACTGAGAAAAGAGGCATTTTCACAAAAGGCTGATGAAGATGATGGACAATGCTCTCAGGCACATGGTGGGATTTTTGGGGCTGTCCTGTGCAGGGCCAGCAGTTGGACTTTGATGGTCCTTGTGGGTGCCTTCCAACTCAGGATATTCTGTGATTCTGTGATATGGAAAGTTGCATCCTCCAGGAAGGTCAAAATTGTTATGCGAATTTTCAGGAAGGATAGAGAAACAGAGAGGAGAACTTGTATGTGGATAGTTGTTTTGTAAGAGTAAATCACTTGTATGAGGAAAGTCTGGATGGTGTGAATGACTCCATGAGAACCAAATCACTTCCTTGGCTGTCAGAAGGCCTCAAAAAAACTTGCATGAGGGGACTCTCCACAGGGTGTGTGTTGGATAGTGAGGAATGACAAGAAAGCACATGGATGTTTCTGAGGCCAACCAAGTTTAAAATTGTGGGGGATTCAATAGGAGAATTGAGTCAGGGCTGGTACCTAAATTGCATGCTGCAATTTCCTGCCTTTTGGCTACAATAAACTTACAGAGAAAATAATTGTGCCTCCGTAGCACGAGGAAACATCATTTCCCCCTAACACGCACATACGTTTTTTCTAAAATGAATTCAGATGGTTGAACTTTGTACAGTATGAAGGTAAAGGGATTTAGCTGTGGGTAGAGCTGGGTCTAAGAGGCTTTAAGGTGATGCAGTATCAAACAACCTAGTCAGAGTGGGAAGGTGGCAAATGGCCCAGCAATGTGGCAGGCTCCTAAACACTGGAATTTCCAAGTCCTATCATTTTCTCCGCTGTACAGACTGAACTACATACTTAGCTGGGCATTAGGGCAAACTGTACCTTCAAATGGAGAGGAATGGCTACAACCTTCCTCTTGCAGCTAGTGCTTCTAGAGGGACTTTTATAGTTATGCTTGAGGTAGTGATAAGGTGTAGAGTACTTAGCTGGTTCTCAAAATGTCTGTTATAAACACTGCCCTACATGTGCAAGAGGCAGCAGTTTCACACTCCTGCAAATACAGCTGTGTATGGTACAGTCCTAAGGTTGGCAGACCTAGAGTAAAGCCTTGGGGGCTGCCTTTCCACTCAGTCTCTTGGCTGCTGCTTGCCTGCCATAGTTGACACTATGCATAAGAAGAACAGGCAGCTACCCAGCTCTGGAAAGGGTGGGGGAGATGAGATAGAGCAGTTGGGGTTTACAAAATATAAAGAAATCTCTCTCATAAACAGCAATTTTTACGGTTTAAATGCTGGCTTCAGACTCCACTCATAGCAGCACACTTGCCTATTGGCTGTATTTTTAACCCCTCCTTTCACATAGCAGAAGTGCCCAAACCTCAGCCACTCTTCCTTGGCATGGTAAAATTCAAATTTCTCTTTTCTGGTGAAAAGCTCTGTTTACTTACAGCACAGCTCTGGTAATGCTACATAAAAGGGGAGACTATAAATATTGTCATTAAGAATCCCTTGTGACACTCAAATAGGCACTGTGAGTCTGTATTACAGATTCTTCATTTCGCATATTGTTTAAGACTACAGGCACAGTCTTCTGAATATACGCCTAAAGAACACTGGCATGTAAAGACTTCCTAATGGCTATATGATAAAATATCCTTTAGAATTGAAATACCATCTCAAAATGATCTGTAAATTAAATATTACGGATCTTAGGTTCCTAGTATTTTGACATTTGTCCAGCCATTATGAATGACTTCTCTAGTATCATTTGGCCAAGGTCATCTTCACGTCACGGTAGTGAGAGGTCTTACATCTTTCCTCCCTAGGACTAAATAATGCTGTTAACAGCATAGGCATATACT